ACGCTTTCACACTTCCACCGGCTTCTTCAAAGCGACATATATACTCAAGCGTACGCAGATAAGCACGCACGCGGCCGCTGCACTGCATCTGGTGGGATATCACACAAGCAGCAGTAAGATATGGAATAATTTATGTGGAAAACCGCCAGATGTTGCAATAAAAGCTGTGCGTGTTTCCAGCCCTATATTCTATTCTGGAACTCTACTAGAGTAGCGTTGCATGACAGTTAAAAATAAAGAAAGAAACAAAGAAATCTTTACTTATTGTACATATGTCCTTTATGTTGCCCTTCAGTTCATCACTCTCTCTGAAATAAGCCTTTTTAGCTCCTGTTTCGTTGAGGACAGCCTCCCTAAAAGCCCAATTCCCTCTGATTGGCAGGCTCTTTGCCTCTGTGGATAATTTTAAACAAGAAGAACTCCCACTCTCTAAACTTAGGTTTCACAGAAAGTCAGGCCTTCGGAGATTTGATTTTTTTTTCTAGCCATTTTCATGATGCTTTCAGTAGAAGAAGAATGAGTAGATGTGGTTAAATATTTTGATTATTTGCACCTATTAAACTTAAATACCTTCCTGTAAGTACTAATGACATCACGTAAAACGAGACACTTACAGTAACTGCCATTTTAGTTTCACACGTCAAATGAGAGGCAGCAGATAATTTTCTCACAGTAGTCAGCTGGAACCTGGAAGTTTTTGCTTAACCATTCTCCTCATGTCTGTTGTGGCTTTCGCTGTGAAATAGACACAATTAAGGGAGGATGTCCTGCTGCAATCAGTCAGAAATCCTCAGCTGAGCAATCAGCACGCATTAGCAGAATGATGTCATGTCTGTATGAAAAATAAAAGACTGAAGTAATATTTCACCTCAGTTTATATATATATATAGATAGATAGATAGATAGATAGATAGATAGATAGATAGATAGATAGATAGATAGATAGATAGATAGATAGATAGATAGATATGTACACACACACATATATATAATTGCAGACTCTGTTTGCAAAAAACGTTTAAGAGTTAGGCTTTTTTGTCTCAAAGCAAATGTCAATAACTAAGCCGTTTAGCTCCATTCACTGCTATTAGCTGAAAACTGTCTCCTGAAAGCTCTCTTGGCGATTGCATCCAATTTCAGTTCAATGGTATAAATAGCAAGAGAAAAGGCTTCCTGTAGACTAGCAGTATCTCTAGCTGTAGCCTGACTTCGTACTGTGCCTGTAGATGGTGACCAAAAACAGATATCTGTGGGGAGATCACAGCTACAAAAAAATTCAAACAAATATGGATACTGTGAAGTTTTGTCAATGCAGATTGTTCATTTGTTCATTATATTTGGTTTGGTTATTAAAGCAGAGGAAAGATGCCACCATCAGCAGTCCACACAGATCCCATCACCTCTCACACATCCAAGTGGTGAGGGTTTTTGTCATATTACATATACATCAGTTTTCCCCTTTTTCACCATTTATGCCACATGAAATCAGTGCAACATAAGGTTGTGTTTATTTGCCACCCAATTTTACATCTCATAGGAGTTTCTCTCTCTCCCTCTCTCTGTGTGCCTGAATGAAGCCAGAGGCCCTGCCAGTCTGGCCTCCAGCTCTTTTTTTCCTGAGCGCCAGCAGCACTGGAGCTCAGCAGCGCCAAGCAAAGCGAAAAGCTTTTGACAACGTGGAGTGACAACAGAAAAGCCCACAGAAACTACAGCACAAGTAGGCCAGCCTTTCAAGGAGCCTCCTCCTCCCCCACCTCTTCCCCTGTCCTGTCCTCATACTCTTCTGTGACTTTTCAGAGCAAACCCAGAGCACTGTCTTCCACTCTGATGGATGTAACAGAGCTCAGTGTACGGTGATACTTGCCTGCTTCTATGTAAACAAAGAAAGAGGGGAGCTAGTAGCATGTGGGTGAGTGGCCTGCCCCACCTGTGTACAGTGTTGGCACCCTAAGCACATTCTGGATGTTTTGTTGTTGACAAGCTGAAAATGAAAGGCATCAGAGAAATGATGCACTCATCAGTGAGGAGTGCTGGAATAATAAAGTGGCTCTGATGAAAACTTAATGGCCCCTTCACCTTTATTAATGGCCATGGGAGCATATCATGCACTCAGGTTCACCACTGGACTAACACATGTATTTCTGCACAGGGAACGAGCTCCATCAGCCCACACTCACTAACGCACTTGAGGAAGAGCTCATAACCGGGAGGACACTAATTAAAGCAGTGGCAACTGGCTAACTGGCTAAATTGCTGCTGATTTTAGCCAAATGAGCCTTAAATGCAGTTTACCACACTTTAATTCATCTAGGGACACATCTCAGTATAAATGTAATGAAACATACATACAGAGATCCCAATGAGTGATTCCAGCCTTTGCCGTTCACACCTATGCTTCCCCATGAAAAAAAAAACAAGACATTAGACTCTACTCTCCTTTGCAGATGAGCTAGAATCACACAGGCAGCACTTATTAATATCTCCCTTTCAAATGCTAATTCCCCTTCATAAATAAATCATAACTCCAGAGGTGGCTGGTATACTGTAGTTTTCAGTAGGAAGGTGCAGGGCTAAGAGAGGAGGGGGTACAAACAGGATCCCTCCAGAAAGTAATGATATTATACCACAACTTGCATCCCAGATACAAGACTATTACAGGCCAATTGTTTTTGCTATAGCGAGCACATATATTTTCTTTAAAAATATATTGCCCCAGTACAGGCTGAGTATATTCTTGTGTTGGTGCATGGTGAAGCATGTGCAAGACTTTCACATGCAGAACTTCATCAAGCTACAATTTATAGAAATAAATGCTTCACATGTGCACCATTGACAGAGGTCTGCTAAAATCAAATCCACTGTTTGCTCTGACGTATTGTAAAAGACCAATGGCCAGTGGGGAAACTCTCCAGGGGAATCTACAAAGAAAAGGAAGAGTCTCACTGACTGCAATGTGGCAGCTAGAGGGCAACATGACATGTCAATAAAATGAATTGACTTGTAGACAAGACAGGGAAAGTAACCATTGGTAAGTAACAAGGTAGTGTACAGATTTTAAACCGATCTCATTTTTTAGTAAAGTTAATGAAGTGACTGGAGTGGAAGTAGGGAAAATCACTGACTGCCATATAAAGGCGGACTAAATATGTTAGAGGGGTACTTGACAACTGGATATCCACTAGTGACCAACAGTTGAAGTGATGTGCAACCAAATGGATTTATGGACAAGGGTTAACACTCAGCCCCCTCGATGATGTATCACTCAGTCAGTCAGTCACACTGTTGCAATCCAGCCAAAAACAGAACAATAATAACCAGTTATTTTGTTGGAACAATGCCGAAGGAAAGAGCTGTGTTGTAAAGTGAATGTGTGTGCAGTAAAGTGGATGCAAAGAGTATCTGTCATAAGGTAGAGTGGATGTGTCATGCAGTAAAGTAGATATTTGTGTATTAAATTGGATGTGTGCGTGAGGCGATGTAGGTGTGCGATACAGTTGAGTTGGTGCGTCATGCAGTAAAGTGGATTTCTTGCAGTAAAATGGGGATATGTCTAGAGTGGCTGTGTCTTGCATTAAAATGGATGTGTGTGTTCAGGATATGTTGTACAGTAAAGTGGGTGTGTCATGCGGAAAAGTGGATGTTTGTGTATTTAATTGGTTGTGTATAGTAAAGTTTGCGCAGTAAAGTGGGAGCCATGCAGTAAAGTGGGTGTATGTGAAGTAAAGTAGATATGTGTGTGGAAAGGTACATTTGTCATATGGTAAAGTGGGTGTGTCATACAGTAAAGCAGACTTTTTGTATTAAATTGGCTATATGTGTAGTAAAATGGATATGTTATACAGTAAAGTGGCGAAGTGGATGTTTGTTTATTAAATTGGATTTGTATTTAGTAAAGTATGTGTGCCATATAGTAGAGTGGTTGTCTTATGCACACACACACACAGTGAAGTCGATTTCTTCCAGTGAAATAGCTGTGTGTCTTGTAAAGTCAGTGTGCATAGTAAAGTTGACCTGTTGTGCAGTAAAGTGATTGCTCGTTTATTAAATTGGATGTGTGTTTAGTAAAGTGGACGTGTTATATAGTACAGTTGTCACTGCAGTAAAATAGCTCTAGTGAGCGTGTGTAGTAAAGTGGGTGTGACATGCAGTAAAGTGGATTTCTTTCGGTACACTGGCTATGTGTCTGTGTTGTCCAGTAAAGTGGATGTGTGTAATAAAATGGGTGTGTCCAGTAATGAAAAGAGTCACATTTGCACATTGCAAAGTATCACAAAGTAGGGTTGTTTAGTCTGCAGGGTTGTTATTGATGGTGCACAGAGTTGCACAGCTTTAGCATCATACATGTGGTCCACTTTCACAGTTGCTATACCAGGTTCAATTTTATGAAGTGAGACAAAATTGAAATTCCTGCTAGTGGGGAGCCCTGATGAGTGAGCAGCCTGCCAACCTGGTTCCACTTTCACAGCTTTGATGTGTGTCTGGCATGCTGTGCTGCAGATGCTGCTCTGTATGATGCATCGTCCTCCTCACTGAAAAGCACAGCATCATCCCAAATGTGGGCTTTTTTGTGAGGACTGAGTCAGGAGCATCTTAGTCTTATAGTATTGTTCAGTTTACAGTGGCACAAGTGCCTTTTGGAGTCACTACACCTTTGTTCATCTGACAAAATTGCTAAAATATGAAGTGACCTTTTTTGAAAGCAGGAAATGATATGTTACAACAAGGAATGTAAACCAGTATGTTCAAAACAAAAACTAGTTTCTGTAAGACCAATTTTTGATTCAAATCTTGTTGTCTAAAATCTGAAGCACTTTTCCTGAATCTTAGATAATCAAACAGATGTAATCCTCTTGCTTTGCTGCTTGGTAATAGGTCTGTATATTCGCATTTATTCTTGGCTGCTTCTTCCATTCAGTGCCATATCTTGCCCTACCCACTTGATGCCCCTCATGCTCTCATCCATCCACATGTGACGGTCATGGGTGTGTATAGGTAACTACCTGCCAGGAGCTGGAGGGGATCTCTGCAAATTTGCCTAGTCCCCCGAAGGTGTAGCACCGGTACATGTGATCCAGAGACTCCGAGCAGTGCCACAGCAAGCCGAAGCTCACGGAGTCCTTGTTGTTGTGCTGGTGGTGATGCTGGTTGCTCCTTAGCTGATCCTTAACAATCCAAGCAGGGGATATGAAGCTGAAACTGCAGACGGCGACCAGAACGGAGGACAGGAGCACCCAGAAGCAGCCCACACAGCTGAACATGGTAGCAGCTTGGGGCAGAAAGCCCGGAGACAGAGTCAGATCAATCCCAAACCCTGCTTCTTCTTCTTTCTTCTCCCGGCCCAGGAGCGAATGCATTTGGAGCTCACGCCTTCAAGAGCGGCACTTCAACTTCAGCCTCAGCCTCCTGACCAGCACTACATCAGCAAAAACTAAAACTAAAAAATAATTACAGTCACTGGGCATCCGCAACAGCAGCTGTGAGACTCCCCAAAACATCTGGTCTGGGGGAAAAAGAAAAGAAAAGAAAAAAACACACTAAGAGAATTGTGGTGAGTGATGGTTATACAATAAAGTCAAGTCATCCGCGCCCACACTTATGCTGGTACAAAGCTCAAATCTGACTCTGGAGATGTTTGGCACACCCAACACTGGATGCGCAGCTGTCATAGCAGTGCAGGTGGAGGACTTCACCAACTCAGAGACCAGACATTTGCTGCAGCCGCCGCTCTCCTCCGATACTCCCTGCGCCTCAACACGGGAAGCTCCGGACTTTTCAGGACGAGTCCGCGTGAACGGCGTCGAGCTACCGCAGGTTAATAGGGAGACTTCCGGTTAAGACTTTCAAAGTCATGCTTAGAAAAGAGGCGACAAAGTTTGAGGCGGTCGTACAGATTTTATTCTGTAATGAATTAATAATTGTATTTATTGTAAAGCAATAAATTATTTTAAACAGTTCAAACTAAAAGGGTGCTACACGATATTTAAACATTTAATTATTCACTATGGTGAATGACTTACACAGAGCCTGTTGAAAAAAGGTACCCCGAAGGATGGTATCTTAAGGTATGCTATATTAGTTGGAAAATGTAATGTTTTTGGACATTAAGCAGGGATTACATGTGAAAATGTGTGGTTACATTATTTATTTATTCATTTATGTGTATTTTATAAATATCCAAACTTTATAGAAGGGTACAAAACATCGTACGTCAAACACCATATAATTATCTCATTAGTCTCATATATTTTTTAGAGTGCAACAGAGGAGACAAAATTACTATGCGTCATATACAAATGGACGCATTTTCCAGAGCTTTTATGAAATGATAAATTTTGACAGAAAATAGCACGACCTAAATAGGTATAAAATGTACATGTCCTTGTGCTAATTTTAGGAACACGACGCCAAATGATGCCAAGTTTCAGACTGATAGCTTAATACTGATTTTATTTTGAAGGGAGAGCGCTTCATTTCCGATGCTTTTGTTTCCTTAACTTGCCTAAAAGCCGTCTGTCTGCAGGTAGCTGAATAAAATGCGCCTTGTACTTTATTTTCTGTGCACCACACAAAATTATAATAAAACAGTGAATAATATTATGAAATATTTTCGGTCTCAGGCACATTTTATTTCCCGTCAAACTGACCCTGAGCATTCATATAGTCTGAAGGTGGTCATTGTAGTTACTTCTTGACGCAAGGTAACAGGACTGTCCCTCAGTTACCATAACAACCCCCCTACCGGTCAGAGCTGAGAAGGGGCGGGGGTTTTGTGTATTTGAGGTGGGCGTTGCCTCTGCACGTGCAAGTTTTCATTCCACAAGATCTTCTTAAACCGCCTGCAGACCGTGCCGTGGACTGGCCAGGAAGCATCTGTAAAGTTTATTTCCCCAGACAACATGAGAGCCTGTTTCACGCTGATTTTTATCTTCGACTTAACTCTATGTGATTAACCACCAATAAGATCCACTACTAAAATGAATTAAAGATATGAAATGCTGCACTAACAGGCTATTTTTTGAGCCCCTTCAGCTGTAGTTTATAGTTTTTAATTGTTGCATTTTCCTGGACATGTTATAATAAAAATCAGAATGCCTCCTAATAGAGGAAGAAAAAAATACATCACCTCGTTTCTAGTTTTACCCTAAACATAACAGCATATTCAACATTGCCCCCACCTGGTCAGAGGTGTGATAACTGTCTATGGGTGTTGGCACAAGGATTGGCTATCTTTTCCCACATTTTAACATTAATGTAGTCAAATTATGTCAGCGGAAGAAAAAATAATTGACAGACAGACAAAGTTTCATAATATATGTATTTAAATCAAACACAATTTAAATATATTATAGATTAAGTACACATAGATGTCATTAGTGGTACATAGTACCAAGAGTCTGTTCTGGTTCTTATCCACATCTTGGTAAGGCTCAAAAAAAACTTTTTTAAAAAATCATTTATTTCACCATCCAGTTAAACAGTCCGCTCATCACTGAAGTCTGTTTCAGTGACATATAAAAAAAAAAAAAAAAACAAAAAAAAAAAGAAAAAAAAAAATCAGCAATCACCATAAAAAATTAACATTAATATTTGGGGTAAACCAGAAATCTAAATAGATATTTATACACAGAACATTTAGGACGAGGAGTTTTGGAGTTTTCCAACAAAACTGGGAGTATTTTCTTCTATGCGCTGTAAAGGTGCCAGGATATTTATACAGAAGGTCCACAAGTCCAAGAACTGAATCCACTCTTCTTCACTGTAACATTTCCAGATGTTGTACAGTACCAAACAAGTAAAGCTACATCAGCTAACACCAGTAAACAGCTGGCAATGCCTCTCTGGGCAGCCTCATGGAAGCGTATGCAAAAACTGTACAACGTTCCAAACCAACAACCCTTTAAGCGGCTGACCAAAAGACAGAAGTTCATGTAAAAACAAGGAATGGTTATAAAAAGCGTGGGGAGGTGTGTCATCAAGTAGTGAACAAAACGTTGCTATTGTTGCAACCTCCGCAGGTCCGAGATAAGACAAAAGTGAGAGTGTTGACTGACATGCTGCAGCTTCTCCTGGTAATGCCAAAAGTTTCCTTCCTCCAGTCTGATGCACTTTGCTTTACTCTCAACACGTGTACCTTTATAGTGTTATGGAGCAGGAAGAGTGGAACAATGATGTACTTCAAGTTTTCTATTAGCCCAAGTGTGAACAATCACTCATCCAAGCTCTCAGCTACACGAACACACACACACGCACACATGCACACCTGGTGGTTGGAGAAGTGATAAAATGCCTTGTTCTTTCTCAGAGTAATGCAGTTCATTGCAGTGAGAACTCTGTGTACTGTTTATCACTGGCTTGGCCAGAATCTGTAGGGAGTGACAGTCCTTTGGCTCCTCAGTGGGGTCATAACTGCAGACAGACAGAAAAAGACACTTAAGAGAACCTGCAGTTATCCCACATGAACGCAGGAATGAGACTGCTGAGTGTGGTTGCGTACCTTGGTGGCCTTGCCGGGGCTGTCGTGGTTTGACTGGTGAACAACGTCGTTGACAATCATCTTGGCAATCTGCCACGCCATCTCCTCCTGGGCCTTTGGTCACAGTGCACACAATGCATTCTATTTATATTCTTTAATGGACTGGTATAATGTGACGTTTTATACACACCACTGAGAAAGCACTGCTATGGGCTTCGAGCTATTTAATCATTTATGATAACTCAGCATAGTGCAATCTCACCTCATCCGAGGTGCCTTGGACCCATTTCTTCATGGCTTGAGAAAATATGGAACCTAAGTGAGAGGAGTGAGAAGACAAGATGACTTCATTGCTAAGCAGAAATCATTAACATGGCTAAAAACTGAAGGCTAATCTTAGCATTTTAGAAGGATTATCAAAGTTAAGTCATTAAGTAATTAATCTCCAGTTCCTTCATTAACACATGAATAATATTTAATCAGTAAGAAGTCAGTTTGTCATACCCTATTCTAATCCTATAGACGGCACTCTAATAAGCTAAGATTTTTATCCCGCTGGACCCGGAAAGTAGTGAAGCTGTTTTTGTTTTGTTTTTTTATAATCTATAATAAGGGAAAAGTTGCTAAATATTTCAGAGCACTATGCGCTATAGGAAGAAGATGAGATTTATATTCATGACTTTCATGGCAAGGAGAAAGCAGATAAAAATATGACAGAGTGTAGGGTGAGAGAAGTGTGACCGTATCATACCTTTGGATTTCTTCACATCCGGCTCTGGCTCTGCCTCCCTGATAAACTGGCCCAGCTCATTCACTTTCCCAAATGTCATCCTTCTGAGAAGACAAACAGGACAAAACGGAGCCTCAGGCACATCCGCACACAAACACACACCATCCCAGCACTGGTGTGAGGGTGTGCGTAAGCCCTTCAACAACTGTAATTTCAGCAAGGGGATAAAAGCAAATCTCCCAGACTAAACTTCTGTCTTTCAATAAGATCATTTTCTTGATTTATTTCTGCACATGATTTTTCAAAGCACGCTCATAAAACCCTACGACGGAGTCAATAACAACAAAACACGTACAAGCACTAAATCCAAACAGCAATCAAAGGAACATAAAAGGAGAGAAAAGCGAAGGTAACAGCAAGGAAACACAAAACCATGAATCAAGCAACAGTTAATCTTTGAAAAGATTAACATTTTCTGTCACTGGATAGAGGCACAAACACTCACCCAGCGTACGGCCGCTGGTACAGGGTCTCAGGGTCCAGGCTGGCAACGTCCACCGTTATCGCCTCGTCAAAGTTTTTAAGGATTTTGATTGCTGCCTTTCTGGCACTTTGCTGCAGTGAACAGACCATGAACAGCATTTTTAGCAGCATTACAGATAGCACTTATATAAAATGTTATTTGGCATCGTTATATCTCCATCCCTACATTGTTTTGTTGTGTAAGACTAAATGACATGAATGGTCATGAACATTTGACATTAATAAAAATATCTTTATTATCCGTGTAATGAGGCGGGACAGGTCTAAATGTCTGCAGACATCCCTGCAGGGGCTGAAGGTGTGGGTCACCTGAGTGTGAGAACTCTCGCTGACATTTGAACTTGAGCGGTCGTTGTCCATCGGTCCGCCCTGACCTGGAGTGCTGACATTCACAAACTCATCGGCCCGCACTGAATTGATGAGGTCACTCAGGTATTTGTAGTAAAGGTTGCTGGACAGGAAACCTGGCATGTAGACCTGAACGAATGCAAAGCAGGGTGAACTCTGGGAGAAATTAATGAGCTTTCTGATATATTTCTGGGCACAAGTTACAGAGATTCCCTTCTGACCTTTATGTTCTAACAACAGTTTTCAGCTTTCCTTTCATTAACCAAAACCAGAAGCATTTATCAGTGGTGTAATGGGACGATTTGTCAGTGACTTGCAACAAAAAAAACCTTTATGGAGGATCCTATTCAATTCACAAACCTAATTAAATAAGGCCTTCACATGCTTCTCTTCTAGTGTTTCATTTTCATCATCCCTTTATCCTTAGGAGAAAACCTAAACACCGAGACCTTGTCGTGTTTTTCTATCAGATGATCTGACCTTCTCCATGGTTGTCCAAGCCTGTCTGAGTGGAGTGGTGAAACAGTCAGGCAGTGGCCCTCCCTCTCTGCAGATATTTGACTCTATCTCCATCCGCACAGAGTCACCGAAGCCCAGAGGGTTGGTAGCCTGGAGTGAGAAATACCTGAAGGGATAATAGAAGAATATGCAAAGAGCTTCAGAAAAGGGCGCCATTTTTTTAAGATATTAATCAAAACTGAACAATTCAGACAAAACCTCAAGACTTTTAAATCTTACTCTATAAAGCGCAGATGATTTAGCGTGACGCTGTAAACTAATTAGTGTGCAAAAAGGTGACATTTATGAAGAAAAATAATTACAATTCAAGCAAAATAGCTCCCAGCAAATATAACAAAGTTGAAGCTAAGAGGAGGAAAGTGCAAGATTCCACTACTGTCATCTCACTATAGATGAATTACTGGACTTTTACCTTCTCATCCTTAACTAAGAGAAACAAACTATCTGCACAGTTTAACTTACTGTGAGCCTGGTGGAAAGCCTCCACTGAATATCAACCAACACATTAAAACATCTCAATTCTTCATGGCTGACAGACTAATCTTCATAAATGCCAAGTAGAGTGCAGTACATAAAGTCTAAGAAAGACAAAGATCTTCAATAATTAATTTTTTCGTATTTCAACAGATGATGTCAGCCTCTTCCTTATGCCCCACAATTCCAGTTAAACCAAAGTCTAGGTCTGTAATCTTAGGTCAATATGTTAGGTTGTCTGACAACTGCCTGTGTTAGTTTTATGAGAACCGTGTTGCAGGAACGAATCGTAATACCTGGAAATGTGTTAGGATTTTTGAATTTAGGACTATTTATATGTGGTTTGTTTTTGTGAAGATGCCTGAAATTAGGTCAAAGATAAATATGAGCTTCCGAGATTTTGTTCTGCTAAATAAAATACGCCACTGGTGAACTCTGAAACCACTACATGTCCAAGAGAATGTGTGTGCTAGCAAGTTGCTGAATTGGACAATACAGCCGATCCCATTGGCGAAATATCCAAATCAAATTGCCGTTTGTCATCACTGTGGCCTTTTTTTGGCAACAAGTGGAAAAGATTAGTTGCTAGCCTATATAACATTCTCATTTACTGAACTTTTACATTGAGTCAGTTCCAAACTAACGTGACATCAACCGTGTCTGAAACATTGCGTGGAGACATTACTGCCGTTTGCATATCACAGTTTAACTACCATCAGCAAACTTTTCTGTAAACTTTCAATTTTAAAGCTCAGGATCTCAGTACAAACATACCCAAATCGGAAAATCTGAATATGTTTGGTCTTGAAATAAGTTAAATGTTTGTTTGACTACTAAAATTTGTTTTGTAATGGCATTTGCATGCTCCCACAACTTGCCCCACCTACTGTCAGCAGCAGCTCCACTAGATGTAAAGCTTCCTCTCACATATGTTAATAGAAAATGGTCCAAAGACTTCACTTTAAAATAACAAAACAGAAATAATTTAATAAGCTTCAAATACTAGTTTTATAATTTTAGGCTTACAAGGCTAGCAGGCAGAGTGTACTCCAGACTAGTCAGACAAAGACACAAGTACAGCTGAACCCTCCTTCAACCTGACCGTGTGCAGACACACTGCTGCTGATTCACTGTCACTGATCACCAAATAATGTACCCAAAGATAAAAACACACCGATTTAATCACACCAGGAATGAAGGTCTTCAATGAAACACCGTTACTGAGCGCACACTACTCTTAAAACTCATATTTGATGATAACTTGATAGATTTAGGTGAAATCTGGACTGAAAATGAATGACGAAGGAAACAAAGAGGAGCAACCTTTTAACAAAAGAAAACACTGAAAGAGTCTTAGATTACTTTCCTCCTACAATTATATTCTCAAACTCAAAAGAAAGAATGACCTCAACATGACAGCAACTTCCAACAATAAAGTCAATCTCCACACTTTTAGAAAAAGTAACTGGTTAAATCAGACACAATAACATCTTACAACCACAGACAGAGGACCTACTTGTCGTAGAGAATCATGGCATCATTTTGAGCCTCCTGGCCATCATATTGGCCCTTTTTAGCTGCTAGCTGGTTCTGGAAGTTGTCTGCCGCCAACCAGAACTGCAGTACATTCATTGCTTCTTCCTTTTCCATGAACTATGAGAAGGAAAACAAAGAAGAGAGAAAATTCTAGTGAACCTCACTGTGTATATGCTGACAGGACATCTTTTGTTAAATGTTTACTCTTTCTTTGTGGATGGAGTTTTGTATCATATCAGTGACACTGTAACAGGAGCATCTACGGGTTTCTTGTGTTTACTGTCTTCAGTTTAGTTTCCTGTCTGTATGGAAAGGTGTACAGAGCAAAGAGGAGGCACAGACTCTGTGTGTTATAGCTAGAAAACTGTCATTCTTCTAACTGAAACAGTGTGGAAATGTGTAATGATCAGGTACAAATAAATCATGTTTGAGGAACCAGTAGCACCACTCACCTCAGAGAAGTAGAAAAGAGCTGACTCACAGAACAAGATGTCAGCCAAGAACACAGAGCCACTAGTCAACACTTCAATCTGGTATTTACAGAAATGATGGCTCCGCAGGAATTCGCTAAAGTGCCTGGAAATCAGAAAGCAGGTGGGAGGTGAATAGTGCAGCAATGTGGAAGACAGGATGGCGAAACGACACGGGGCACGGGGCGGGCTTTAATCTTAACGTCAAAACGTGCTGCGAATATTAACTGCTCTTGGAAATGAATGGACAGAAACTCACTGTTGCTCCAAGATAGCGAAGGCTACCGACTGTGCAATGACAAAGCAGTTTGGGTCCACCATGCCATCTTCTCCACAAATCTTAGCTACACAAAACAGAAGAGAGCGGATATTGTCACACACCAGGATCACATTTAAAATAGAAGACTTACTGCAGAATAGAATAACCCTTTATTGTCATTGTACATGTACAACGAAAAGGTGGATGCTCCACACCAACTGTGCAGGAGTAAATGGTAGACAGCATGAATAAATAGCAAATAGGAGAAATATGTACCATAAAGAGAGACTGATACAAATCAAGAGAAAGGCACACACTGGAGAACAAGTTGCAAAGTGCTTGGAAGTAGTGCAAAGAAAAGACTTGGTCTGAGTCGAGTCTGTATGCGAGTGGCCTGAGTGATGGGGGTTACTCAGACCATGGCTCAGATTAGTGAAGTGGATGGGCAGGGGTGGGGTGTGGGGGCATAGTGGACAGAACATACAGTCCGAATGGCCCAGAGGAAGAAGCTGTTTGTGAGGACACTTGCGCGCACACGCACACACAAACACACACACACTTTTTGAACAGATGGACCATAATGTGCTGTATTAAAAATAGAGAGACAACATCTGTGGTCTTACCAACTATGTCATTTCTGATCTGTTCTGTGATGGGGATGGGCCTCACAGCATCTGGAGAGATGTACTTGGTGAAGATAGTAACAGCATCTTTTTCTATACCTGCAAAACACACAAATTATCTCTCAACTGATGCTCAAGTAAAGCTCTTCCTCCAGGTGGTCAGTCTGAATTACCAATTAATGCATCAATCTAATGCCCACATGTCTTTGCCTGTGCACACAGTGAAATTGTTTCAGGCTGCTGGTCTCGTTCCGTCATGGTAAAAACCAAGTGTACAATTCCACCCACTGCTTTTATGAAATTTTCACAAGCTGGGTCATGAAAATAAACAGCTGAGGGCACTAATCATGCTCACACAATGTCATTAAACCAGTGCGGACGAAGAGGACGAGATGACATGCTTAAGAATGCCACTCAAACCTTTAATGTGGTGACCAATGTGACCTCACACAGACCTGCTGTTTCATCCCGAGCTCTTCAGAAAAATGCCTAATGGCACCATTTACAAATTTAAGCAAGACTGAAAATGTGAAAACACAATACCAAGATAACATGTTTTCTTCTTTGTGAAATTGTGTTAATTTCAAAACTTATTAGTTTTAAATAAAGTAACCTAATTATTTATGCTAATTCTAAACTAAAATACAAGTTTTCAAATTGTAAAGTATCTATGATGGCCCACCTGCAATAACTTCAAGACCCACTAGGGGGTCCCAGCCAACACCTTGGAAATCAGTGCTCTAATGTAAAGCCATTTTCATCCACTGCAGCCCTGTACCATCTTTGACATTAATCAAAGAACTGCATGCAAGAACACACAAGGACAGTAACCAGTCTTAAAGCTGTCAGCTCCTTCTACAAAGTCTGTGTGATGTCTGAGACGGTGCGTGTGAGATCAGAGCAGATAACGGTTTGTTGACATCATGGAAAGTGAGTGGATGTCCTGTGTGCAGCACCCTAGCCTAAACCAAAGTGAGTATTCACAGAACTGAGAATGTCTCTGAAGTTTCTGAATTTTCTCCTGCCATAAGCTACACGTGAGAAAGGACAAGTTTGCACAATGCGCCAACCCCATTCTCCTGACACAGTTCGGTGTCCACTTCCATTACAGGTCACTGTAGCATTTTCAGTTTACTGATGTACCAATTTTGCCACAGCATCAAAGGATACAATTCAGTTTTATTTATATAGTGTCAAATCCCAACAGCAGTTGCTTTAAGGCCCTTTACATTGCAAAGTAAAGATTCTACAATAATACAAAGAAAATCCCAACAATTAAATGACCTCCTCTGAGCAAGGACTTGGTAACAGTGGGAAGGAAAAATCTCCCTTTAACAGGAAGAAACATCCAGCAGAACCAGGCTCAGGGAGGGGCGGCATCAGGAAATGTACTGGACAGATCTGACAAATCCACATTAAGGTCTTCAATCTTAGACAAATAGGAAAGCTGCCATTTACGAAGATTTCTCAGTATACTGAAAAGTGATTGGTTGGCCATCAAAATAATAAATAATTTCCCCTGTCAAAATATAGAATCCACAAAGAAAGTTAAAAACCTGTAAACAAGACAACAAATGTAAAGATAAAAAGGCGACTCACTTTTCATGAGTGTGTCAGAGAGGTCGCGCAGGGTGCTGCTTGACTGCACCTTTAGGGGGGTCCCCGACCTGGAGGGTGGCTGCCTGCTGGGTGTTGCTGTTCGAGGCGTACTGGGTCTCGCGCCTGCTTCTGTGCTGGATGAGTCCCGCTGCTGAGTCTGAACTGTAGAGCCTTCGCTGTTACTGTGCCGTGCAAGGACATTGGGCTTTTTCTGGGTGAGTTCTGAGAGCTCTGAACCGTCTGGAGACGCGGGGACCGGCTCGGCCAAGGAGCTGTGTTTGACAGAGTTTAGACTATGCGCTCTAACACGTGACCAGCTGGTGGAGCGGAACCTCTCAGCCTCCAGCCAGAACCGAACCAGGTGGTCTGCACCTCGTAGTTCCATGAAATGCATGAAGTGCGGTATCGCGACATTGTCCTGAAGGGCCTGCTCAACCGTCTTGGACATGCGAGAGCGCGTCTCCTGGGGCTGATAGTTCACACTGGAGTGACCTGGAACATCAGAGCATAATTCATTGATTCAACTGTAAAATTTTAGCAACAACACATTTATTAACAGGCAACTTAGGTGCATTCATTAATGATAAAACTTACGTCATCTTTATACTACAAATTAAATCTTAATCACTGATATTTACTTTATGCTATTTACACAGCATACACTTTAATGCCTGCTTTTAAAGACTCACAACAGCAGAAATTCCATCCATTGTTAAACACTTCCGTTTAAATGACAATGAGATTTACACTGTCTTTGAACACACATTACTCACTCAAGTGCTCAAGTTTAATAACAGACTGTGGGCTACATTCTTATTTACAGCATCAACCTTCAAAGGTAACGTGCACACTATATTGATGGGAGCTGCAACATGAAATGAAAGATAAAAAGAGGATTTTCTGTGTTCAGCTCTCTCTGAACATTTGGTCCTGGCTGAAGGGCGCCGTGATGGGAATTCTAACTCCTGGATATTTGTTTTGAAGGTTTGTGAATTTCCAGCTCATTCTCTGTCTGGAGTTGGTCCTAGACTATGCAACAGATGATTTAACACAGACAAAATTTTCACAACCGTGCGTCACAGGCACACATCTGTGTGTCCTGTCCATACTTTCAGTCATGCGTGGATTAAGTGGTCAGCAACTACAGGGGCATCCACAGCAACCTTTGACTGTACAATCCCACCATGCTCCAAACTCCAATCTGAGTCTACAGGTATTCTGGAAACATTACTCAGAGATTTTGGTCCATATCAACATGATAGAATCACACAGATGCTGCCAACTACACATCCTAGATGTGAATTTTCCATTCCACCACATCTCAAAGGTCACCATGAAACAAAAATCTCCCACACAATTACACTACCACCAGCTGGCCCCATTGATGAAAGGATAGATCCACGCTTTAATGCTGTTTACACCATACTGTGTGACCCTACCAATTGAATGCATCAGCAGAAACCGAGACTAATCAGGCCAGGCTATGTTTTTCCAATCTTCCTTTGTCCAACTTTGGTGAGCCTCTGTGAATCGTAGCCTCAGTTTCCTGTTCTTAGCTGATGAAAGTAGCACCCAGCGTGATCTTCAGCTACTCTAGCTTATCTGCTCAGAGACACTCTTCCGCATACCTCAGTTGTAACAAGTGGTTATTTGAGTTACTGTCATCTCAAAGCAGTCAGGCCATTCTCCACTGTCCTCTGACATAAACAAGGCATTTTACCCAGAGAACTGCTGCTCTCTGGATATCAACTCTTTTTTTGACCCTTGAGATGGTTGTTTGGAAAAATCCCAGCAGATCAGCAGTTTCTCAAAATCTTCACATCAGCCTGCCAAAAATCACAAGCCACGTTCAAAGTCTTCAATTCAACTTTCTTTCCCATTGTGGTGCTCAGTTTGAACTTCAGCCAGTTGTCTATATGCCTAAATGCACCCCATCTGACCAGCTCATTAGTTATTTGCATTAATGTGCAACTGAAGTGACTGTCGATGTAATCTGGCTAAATAATGCTTCAAAGGGAGACTGTTTAAGCAAACTGAGTGCTCTATTATCCATCCTGACTAGACACCCGACTGTCTTGCGGGATTTTGAATCACATCAGCTGTAGTTAGTCTGAAGCGTGGGCTGAAGTTTGGCAGTGTTAAGTTTGCTCTTTGAAAACAAGATGGTGCTTCAAGATGTGTCACGCAGTGTGTGGTGCTTTTCGTCAGCCTCTTTAGATTCTTAAAGATCACACAGTCACGGCCACCTTAACACTGAAAGCTGTTAGAAATCACAGCAACTAGTCCGGCATCTACGGCGGGATAATCAAAGGCTCCTGTTTCATTTGCAACCTTTTCACAGTAATTCAATGTCTGTTAGAATGACTTTGAATTTCAGTCATAGTGGTACCTGTTTTATATTTTAAACACTAGCAAAGAAAACAAAACAAAAAAAAACCTCATGGCCCCTGCCTTCAGAAGCCACAAACCCTCAATCCAACTGTGAAACTGCGCCTCTCTGCCTCCTAGACGCACCCTCATTAATGCTTCCTTCCTTTTCTTCTCCAGTCTGTTGAAACCACAGACCAGAAATCACCACTGCCCAGCAAGTCTCTTTGAGAATTTGTCATCTAAGCTGCAGCACAGGTTCCTCCACCTCCGTCCGGCACGCCCCACCTGCTCGTACAGTTCCTGTCACTACAGTGAATGCTCACCGCTCCATATCATGACATCCGGGGAGCGTACACAGAATCTAATTATAGAGTATTTTTCGCCCTCACGTCACTGCCTGAGAAGATAAGGCCAACCTTACGCTGACAGGAATGTTTGGGTGCTCGCGATACCTGATACATGTAGCCCAGTGAGTGGCTCACAGGATTAATGAGGGAATACTGCCACTTGCATAAGACAATAGGATGTTTCTGCTCTTGTAGTGACGCAAGAGGCGTACTATCGCTGTAACACCAGAAACAGGAGCTTACGACAGCTGTAATTACCTTTGAATTTTGACAGCCTATTAAAAAACTGTATTTATTTTCTATGCAGTGTTTTTCTTGATTGTCAGAGCTTTTCTGTATTGGTTTCAGTACATCCAATGTGAACCCTTTGTGAACCAGTTAATTAATCTATCAAATAACAACACATTAATTATCTTTAATAATGTATAATTACTTTTCAAAGACAAAGGCTTCATATCTCCAGTTTCAGCACCTAAATGAGAGATCGTGTCTGCTTTTATTTGTAATATATGACTAAGAAAAGTTTCTTTATGTATGAAACTCGATATAACCAGGAAACTTCACTTTGAACTCTGGGATAAGGAAACAATTTCTGAGCAAGTTAACAAAGTCAGTCTTAATGCTTGTTTCCTTTTGCATTCATTTCTGAGGAAAACTCCGGTTTAACCAAATTGCATTCAAGTAAGTACAGAACAGCAGAGAGGTCCTTCAAAGTGTGCAGCATGTTATAACTCAAACTGTCGCAAAGGTCACAGACTAAATAAATGAATCCTTATATATACACATATTAATAACTGTAACCAAAGAGGGACAACAAACCTGCATCTGGATCAAACTCAAAGAAACCCAAAATAAATTCCGTCTCTGTGATTCTGAATCTACAACGTTTTATAGCTAAATATTATTCTGGGTGTTTTTCTGCAATCATTGGAAGCGATGCAAAAGCTCATGAGTGCAGCTTCTGTACCGAGATCTCCAAAGTGCGCCGCTTCCATGTGGCTCGGCTGCTTCTTGAGGATGGCGGTGCGACCGCGGGCAAAGGAGTCCATGTTGGCCGAGATGGCGCTGATGGCCACGTGGCTCGGCCCAGCAGCTTCCTGGATGGCATGGTGGTTCCTCAGTCCTGGAGATTGAGGGCTGGTTGGAGCTGTGAGCACAAGATGAAAGAGAGAAAACAGAATTTAGTTAAAAGAAGAAAAAGAATATAATAGCATTGATGTTCTGAGTGGCCTGAATGTGTGACAACAGTGTGATTTGTAAGAAAGGGTCCTTTTAGTGAGAGTTTCTGGAAAAGCTCATAGTTATTATTATTATTATTATTAGTGTACACAAAGCCTCAGGCTGTGGCAGATAGTTGAGAAGACAGACTGCTCAGTGTTTGTTTCACTGTGCGCTGTGAGCTTTGTTAGCAGCTAGAGGCTACAGCTTCTGTCCGCGAGACAGTTTAACCAGCACTGATTAAAGATAGAGAAAAACCAAAGGAAAGAGTTATGAATCTTTCAGCTGTGATCATTTAAGACCTTTTTAACACCACATAAGAACAGTTTTTCCACAGCCAAACCTCAAGAATAAGGGAAAGCCAGAGGAAGGAAAAAGGCTTACAATTACATAATAAATGCAACCATTTATTTGCATTCACATCACATGTTTGTCTCTACTTGCCATCTAGAGGTTATAATAATTTCTAGAAATGTAATTACAAAATTTAAGTGGCTTGAAGTGGATGAAGCCAAAGTAAATGATTTGCTTTTCACGTTTAATTAAGCTCAAGCTTCCCGACTGCTGCTGTTGCTTTGGATCTGCGAATTCATTTCAAACTTTTAAATACAGTCTAAGCCCTTCTTTGAGGAAACGTAATCCTGTTATACATTTCAAGACCATCCTGTAATGTTGCTGGCGGAGCAATCAGAGATGCACTTTTTTCCAAGTCAGCTCAAAGTGGGCGAGGGTACACAAGCGCATCAAAAAACACAAAAAACATTTAAAAAAACAAACAAAACAACAACACCACTGGATATTTGCGCTTATATTGCCACCAAACACAGCTGTGTCATTTCAACAACTACCAAACCTTCCATAACCTCACAAGAGTAAAGAGGAACTCACCTCTATTGACTTTAGCGTCTGTCCCTTTCTCAGGTTCTTTGCTTTTGGCTGTGGGGAGAAAGATGAGAGCAATGGTTGGAAATGGAGAAGCAAGCAGTGTTCTGAATCATAATACGGGGAGGGTGAAGAATCAATACATGAGATTTCACTGAGGGGTTGATGTCGTGTGGTGGGGATGCGTTTCCCACAACAACGATTCTGTAACACTTGTTGAACTCTAATACAGACTTCTAAGAAAGGCTGCTTAATGATATCTGCAGAACTGAAAACTACTGAAAAGGCAAAAAAAAACAACATTGTTAGTCGTTATCATGGCAATGTCGTTTCACACTGTGTGGAGTTAGTCTGTGTTAATAGTTAATTAGCCCTTACATATGCTTTCCTCCACCTGGCCACACTGCTGCTGACAGATGTGGGTTAAACCTCGAAACTGGGTTCTAAAATGTGAAAACAATGTCCATCCTGCTTTATATACCACAGTCATTCGCAAACTTTTCCCAGCATCCTCCACTTCCAAAGATAAAGAGTTTGTAGGACAGACCCCACAGTTCTAAATCAATTATTAATTATTTTTTTAAAAAGCTCCAAAGAGCATCATCAGCAATCTTTTTGCTTACTTTCCCCACATGAATTAAGCTCATTCAACTTCAGATTATTCCATGGTCATCCACGGCCTCTATGACCGCAGTTTGAGAATCACTGTCAGGGCTTTTATACTAGAGTCCTACAATTTGTGACCTTGGTCTATCAGTTCTGGTTTTCCTTCAAATGACTGTATGCTAGTTTACACCTGAAGGTCACCAAGATTTACTGATTGTCCCGGAAAAATACACAGTGCATATAATACAGCAGATATGTGAAGCCATTCCAAAGCCCTGCAGCTGTCAAATTAACCAAAAAGAATGATGTGTGCACCCTGCAGGGGAATGAGTGCATGCTGGCAGACATAGTGGCAACCATTCATCAGAGTGACCCTACACTCATATCTCCGGATGAAGCAGTTTGGTTGGGCCAAGCGACCGTTTCAAGCAGTGACATGACAAAATGGACCGGGAGGCCTGAACAAATGGAGCTGAAGATGCTCTTTATGTGAGACATTTGGGATGGAGCCATATCTGAGTGTGTGTGTATCAACCAAGAGTCAATGTTGGCTGAGACCGACAGGCTGTCTGCCACAGAGAAGCGACATGGTTTTTAAAAAGCCTGGACCCCAGTCATTTTTACACAACTGGACTAAAACACAATGATGCAAATAACTACAGTGAAGTAATGCTTTTACGTAATGTTAATGTAAATGTTATTACAGGACAATGACAGGTTGGTGAAATGGATGCTACTATTAAGAAAAACTAGTTACATAAAATAATAAACCTTTAATAACTACAAAGAAAACGTACAATAATGTATGAACAGAGTGCCTGGGACTTAGTGGAAAATTGCATTCAAATTTAATAGTAAAACTTTCACTTCCTCTTTTTTTGGCATTGAAATTCTTCCTCCTAACAGGGAACAAATTCACTTCCTGTCAATCCTGAGCAGCATTCTGGGTATGGATAAGTGAAGTCTATATTTCCTCATTTTGGTGATCTGCTGTGTCAGCTGTTTTAGTCACTGTCACTGCCACCAGGAAAAACCACTAATCTTTAGGGGATACCAAACCGCAGGCTAGTTTCAGCAGTGAAGTTATTATGGTGGCTTCCCAAGGAAATGAGACGGGAGCTCTATTGACTCCATTATTAATGGCCTCTCTGGCCTTTATATATTTTTTCTTATTGTGTGATTTCTATCAAAAGCGTCAGACAAACCTGTTGTCACCTGTTGTAGGATGGTGCAGCAGAAAAATAAAGTCCTTTCTTACTTTTCCAAATGTATTTGCTACACCTACTCTATCCCCCTTAATGTTATAATTTTCAGTTTGGTTGACAGGGTTTCAGAGAAGGGCTCATTTGTAGGTGGTGGCGAATCTGACATTTTGCCCACCCACTTTAAAAAAAAAAGATGCAGATCAGACACAAAAGACGCCTGTCAGTGTGACTCCAGCCTTCACAATGACCACAAAAGAGGTTGAACTGTGGGGCTTTGAACTGAAATTCATTGTCACGTTGTGTTCAAAAAAAATATAGAAAAACGCAGGCCCAGCCCATCTAGGTTCTACTCAATAGTGACTGAAAATTAGCATTAGCCAACTCCAGGTTCTCTACAGCCAAATGTGTTACAGGAAACGTGTGTCCTTTTGATAATTAACAGCTCTGACTGAGACACAACCTGTCACCGGTAATATTTCTGACATATCTTGCTTGTTAAGTATGTATGAAAATACCTCAACAGAGCTAGCTAGCTGCTATTGAACATTTCGACACAAGCGTTGCTTTGGAGCAGATAACAGTGTTCCTTTGATGCTCTGGAAGCCCTGAATTATGTCTGCATACAGGAAGGCGTTGATGTAGACTTGTGGCAGGTTTCTGTGGTGGATTCAATGCCACCCCGGCTAACATGAAGTTAGATAAATCAGGAAGGGGGGTGGGGGGGCAGTGAGGCCAGCGCTAAGCTAATCATGTAAAAGCAGTAAGGAGCAGCGGCAAAGGAGGAAACGTATTCCCTCAAACGCCTCAGTTTACACGGCTAATTTATGCACCGACAACCTCATCAGTCACATATTATCGGGCACCCCTCTCCGCGGCGCTAGCTACCGTCGACGTTGCAGCCTTCAGCGGGAGCTTTTTCCTCACCTTTCCTCTTGAAAAACGACATGACGGGATTCACACTCTGGACGTTTCCTCAGCTCACTGACACCATCCCGTGGATTCGCGGTTGTCTTCATTCAAATGCAACTGTCGCGTACACTCCTGAGCTGGAAACGGGTTATTGTCGCAGCCACGGCTACCGCTGTCAATTAAAATATTTCTGCAAATCCGAAACCCAGTTCGGCAGCCATATTGTCAATAAACGTCTCACTTCCGGGCTGGTGCGGCAGCAGCATTGTGGGAAATGGTGTACCGCCTGCGTTGGTCAGCAGAGGGCGCTCTTTGAACGTGAAGAATATTAAAGCTATAAAAGTCACCTTTGATAAGTGATTTGGTTTTTACATTTTAATAGAAGTATTCAATTTTTTTTAAATAAAAGAAATATAAAAACAAATTAATTTAATTATTATATTGGAAACATGGTATGCCCACAGTGAAACAGATAATATTAAAAGCCTGTATGCCTGTTGGCTATACACGTAGCTGTACAAGAACCTTTAAACAGCCTTTAGGGAAAATTTCTTAAACGTTCCTTCCAAAAGGTTTCCCCAAATACTAGGGGGAAACATTTAGAAAGCCTCAAAGTTCTACTATCACCCAATCAGACGGTAGCAATGTAATTCATTCAGACACAAAGACATGGTTGCTGAAGTTCCAACAGAACATGAGAATAGGGAAGAAAGGTGATTTAACTGTCTTGTTACAATCGAGGTATGCAGAAGAGCATCTTCGAACACACGTTGAACCTTGAAGCAGATGGACTAAGCAGTGGACAACCACACCACGTATCACATTTGTCTGTTAAAAAAAGCAAAGAGGGCCTACAGTTTGCACCGGCTAATGAAAACTGGGCTATAGAAGATTAGAAAAACGTGGCCTGGTGATGAATGTTTAGTGATGCAACTTTCGAATGGTAGGGTCAAAGTTTCATGTAGACAACATAAAAACATGCATCTATCCTTATTTGTCTCAGTGGTTGAGGCTGGTGCCATGGTGTGAGGGATATTTCCTTGGCACACTTTGACCCCTTGGTACCAACAGAAAATCAGTTCAGCCTTTCCCACAGCTTACTTGAACCTTACCAAACAAGAATATATAGTTATTTTACAACACACATTTAAAAAAAAGCCACTCAGAAGAAAATCATTGTCTTAGTTTATTAATTAAATGACAAAGTTCTTTACAAGTAACACATCTTTCCATCGGTTTTGCTGTGACAGTTTTCCACTGAGGAAAGATTTATTTGAAATGCCACAAGATGGATTTAAAACACTAAAATCTGATTTACTTTAAAACAATATCACTGGTTAGGTGTACACAGTTATACGCTTACACCACTGGTCTTTCTAAGCACCAGCACTGCTATTCTACCCTGTTTCAGCAAGTGGAAGTATAAGAAAGCGATGTGAGGTGGATATTAATCAAGCACATTGTGCACACACCCACAAGAGGCCTAATCATACAAATAAGTGAATCCAGGGTGTGGGCAGGTTGGCCACAGAGGTTTTTAAAAAGCTAGCTTTCTCTAAGAAGCTTTACCTACTGCAACAGTCTAGCCTGCAACACGTTGCACAACCTTTTTGATTGCAGTAGAGTCAGCAAGCATTAATGTAGGCCAAGGTCCAAAGTACGTCAGCGTTGTGATGTCACTGTCCACCTTTTTTTTCCTTCACACAATTCAGATCACTTCATTGGGATTCTTTTATTTTATTTTATTGATTCATGTGCAGTGACTTTTTTATGTGTGAAATGTAACATGCTTTAAATGAATCAATGAGTCGCCTCAGTTTAGATTATCAGAAGATTCTGTGCTGCCAACATGTTTTATGCAGTTTTTTAATCTCGTCCGACACCGTGGGTCTCCTTCGGCCTGTCGATGCGGTAGACAAACTCTGCAGGCATGAAATAGCCCAGATACTCCACACTGTCAGGTGTAGTGTCTATGTAGTAGTGGCCACCTTCTCCGTGGTGACTGAAGCAGTGGGTGTGTTCCACACGCAGGTCCAGGCCCTGCAAAGCAACCAGGCGGACATTACAAAGAAGCCTACTGAACAAAAACACCGTAATCAGGTAATAAAACTATAACCAGATCTTTTTATATTTCTGCATCACGCTGAGGTGTGAGTCTATTGGCTTTAACTTACAGGGTCTCTGGATACGAGCACCGACTGGCAGATGAGTGGAGCGCTGACCTCAAAGTGCTTGAGCCAGTTGTTGACGTCATCGTTGGTGTTGAGGGGGCAGACTGAGAACTCTCTTGGCTGTTGACAGGCAAGGAAACAAATCAAAGCACGTGGCTGTGCCAGCAGCAGTCTGTAACATGCTCTGTGTCATGTCCACTATTTACCATGATGTGGATTTTAGCCTTCCCTTTCTGGATGATGAAGGTGCCTCCCAGGGCCAGACTTTTATCAGGGTAATGAGCTTCAAGGCTCGTCCGCAAGGCCGTCACCAGACTGTGACTTCCTGTTCTCCTCTTTGCCTGAACCTCTATGACCTGCAGAGGCACACGGGTGAAGACTACCAACTCAGCATGTTTAGGCACACAACTCTTGTTAATGTTTATTCTCTCATTAAATGGGGCTAAAGTTCACGCAAAACAACATCAGCAATGTTATTAATTTACAGATAATTATGTTTAAGTATAACTAGTTCGTTATTTTCCAAAAGCCAAATCAGGATGAGAGTGCATTTTTTAAAAGGCTATGACTGATTACCCTTCCAGGTTTCCCTTCGCAAGCATACAGATTTCCCAGCAGCCCAAAGTTGCAGTCTGTGAACTTGTCGCTGTATTTTTCTAGCAGACACTGGTCATCAGCTGGGTTGATGGAGGAGAAGTAGCTGCTGTTCACTGCGGGCCTTCCCCCTGCCTCGGTCAGAACCAGAGGCATCAGCTGTGGACAAGAACATTCATTCCACTGACTGCTGCCGTACCAAACTGCCCTTTCAAGATTATAATGACAGCTAGTTTATACTGAGGTCATTTGCTGAGTGAAGCACTTTGAATTAGAAGGAAGGCAATTCACCTCTGCGTTCATTCCAACTATTCTATTGGGAGCAGCTGCTGCACCGAGGATGAAAGCGCCTGGAAGTTCCAGCTCCTTTGATACAGTGTTCATGTTGTATTCCTGACAGTAGAAGAAGATGCTGAATATGCTTTAGCAAAACTTTTCATTAAAGTTTCTCAATGCAATTCTTTTATTTTAAAACCTACCTTTTCCTTTCTGACCAGAGGCACCAGATATGGCACACCACCAACATCAGTGATGCGAGGGCTTCCACACAAGCCTGCAGGGTACAGGCGAAATTAAGATACGTTTCTGATACGCAGTCTGCAAATGAAGCTCATCCCCACTCATATGCATGTTTTATGAAGTGTTTTAAATTGACCAAAATGCATATGCGTTCGTTTTTAATCACACTTGTGTTCTTGATAGGCTCCTACCTTTGACAGGAAACTGGAAGGGTTCTTTGGTGAGATCCGGACACTCCACAACACTCACTTGAACTTCAGCAAAGTTGGTTTCCAGTCCTGCTTGTAATACTGCAACCAAACACCGAGTCACATGAACACGCATGCACAACTTTGCGCTTATATATCAGAGCTTACCGCCACGCAGCTCTTCTAGATCTGGGGCGTGCAGCTGAACCTTCTCGGTTTTGCTGGTGTCTGCCATAGATCCACCTGAGAGTGCGCGCGCTGGGATACAGTTTAGAGGTGCAGGGAAAGTGGATAAGAAAAAGCGGACAGGACCAGGGTTAACTTCAAACAAAGAGTAAATAAGAACAAGATGATAACCCTCCCCGGAAGTGTTTCCTCATCCAATTTAAAGACATTGGTTATTTCTTTCACTTAGAAAATCGAACAAAAAATTGCCCATATTCGCCGTAATAATTAATAATTCCCTCTAGATAAAAAGGAAAGCATTATTATTGGTTGGCTCTAGATGTGGGGTCTTTGGGCTCGGGAAATCTCCCAACTCTATGAACTGCACAAGAGCTCATTAAATAATGCAGACCACGACAAGGACGATGAATGTGATTCACACATCAGGAGACACTTTACATTTGTCGCAAGTTGCTGAACAGACTGTGGATATATGTAGTGTATAAGCCGGTTTGGTGCACAGTCTCATACAGAAAACGAGGCTGCTCGTGCTTCGCTGTCTGAACGGAACTAATACCATTATTACTGCTAATTGCAATATTAATATTAATTCTATCTCTGCGTGAGGCTCATTGTTATGTCGAGTTGATGCAGGAGCCATCAACCCACAAAAAACATCTTATATAGAGCTCAGCTGAAGACAAAACCGGAAGTGTAAACACTGTAACCTCTTGATTCTTTTAGTATCGTCTGTCTCCTCTTTGGCGATTGGTCAGATGACCATCGTCATCTCGGTGACGTCTAAACACTTCCAGGTCGAATCGCATGTGGAGTGTTTTACGTGTTTTGGTGGAGATTCTTGTATTTACGTGTTTCATGTCTAAGATTTTTCACGGATCCGTCGGTGAGTCCTACGATGGCGAAAGTGCGTCGGTCCAATGAGTGGACTGAATCCGACGCTGTTGCTGAAGTTGCTACAGCGGATCCATCGGATTTTGTGCTGGAAACGTTCCCTCCTGAATATGTGGACAGAATTTCGAGGTTTATAGAGTCTTCTTCTGTTCTCTGTTCGAGTCAGAACAGAGAGGATGGTGCAGCCGAAGGAGAGCCCACTGAAGCAGACAGGTGAGGAGTGGAGGTCACTCCGGCTTAGATACTCTGACAAATGTATCTACATGTCTGTATTTTTCACAAACAGCACACACATGCAGACACACACACACTAAAGATAACCCCAAATTTCATGAACGCAATATTAACATTGTATTTCATAAAAGAGCACTTGGATTTGTAGATAATGCAAAGAAAAACTGATAGTCTTCCTTGCAATGATCCCATAACACGGTACAACAAGGTAAACAGTGTACTGTGTCAGAAGATTGACATCAGTCTGCTAAATAAATGCTCTATATTGTAATGTAATAAAGGAGGAACGGTCAGATATCCTCCATCCATCCTCTGTACTCTTCTGCACCTTTCTCCTTGCCACAACACCACACATCCTTCCTCCTCATGGTCAGGGTGTTACTGCTTTTGTACACCACCTCCTCCAGTTTCACTCATTATCCTGTACACGATACTGCACTCAAGTTCAGTAAACATATTTTTCCA